ACTCCTTCAATGACTGTTTTCAGTTTTTCTATCATCAGTGTAAGATCAGGACTCAATCCCAATTCTTTCTTTTTCAAAATACCGGCTAGCTCCCTCTTGGTTATTTCCTCCTACTGCTGAGTCCTCGGCAGAACAAATTGAACTTCACAACACTTCTTGGGGCCATTTCTTAATTGCTAGGGATATTCCCTATAACACCGATACTCCTCACCTTGCCAAGAGCTGAACTGGGGTAAAATTTTACAACCCAGCTCAACTAGCCCGGCAATTTGGATTGACCCAAATAATCCCAGTGCCGCCCCACTTTTCTTATAAAAAAAATTATCATCGGCGGGTCAAGCTTTCAAACAGTGAACATATTTAAGATGTAACCAATCGATTTACTCAGTGCCTTCAAGAATTTCAGTATAAATCCTTTTTTGAAGAACCACATACTGATCCAAGTTTCGAGGATTGGTGGGCATCATACATCAATTCTACAAGGACTGTAGATTCTAGCCAACTCGTGTGTGCTCTTCTTGGCTCCTACAAATTCATTTCCCTCAATTTTCAAGGTGTAGATTCCATTAAACCCATTGTTCTCACTGCCGCTCCTAAACTAAAGAATGTAACAGATAAAACACCGATAAAGAATGTAGACCAGATCTCGCTCTCGGCAGAGTAAGTTTTACATCTTTGTTCTTTTCACACAAACTTGTAGTTTATTTATATGCTTACTAACATAACTTTAAGCACAGATTCTAATATACCAGAGAAATTAATACCCACCAAGTCTGAAGAAACCCAATGTGATCCTTACATCCCTATTCAAAATATACCACCATTGTCGGCTACTCCAGTAAGTTAACTAGACTTCCTCTCTATTTTACTGAATTTATATATATATAAATTCTAACACCTTACCCCAGGAATCAAAGAAGAGAAAGAATGTCAAAACAGTGGGAAGAGAACCTGCGAAGAAACAAAGGGCAAAAAGGAACTTTGTGTTGATTGATGATGATGATGATGAAGTTAATGAAGATGAAGTTATGTCCAAGAAAAAGAAACTTGCCACTGGCACTCCCAAGGTAAATTTCCTTAATTCCGGATTTCCTCTACATTATGTTTTTGTTCAAGTAATATAACTGAATCGGCATTATTTTCAAAAAATTCCAATCTCTCCAAAACAAAAGGTAAGATAAGAAATTGCTATGGACAATGTTGAAGAAGAAGAAAAACTTGAAATGTCAAGAGAACAAAAACAAGGGCCCCTTGAACAAATAATTTCACTAGCTTCTTCTCAACACCTTGCTACAACTTCAATGAATGAGCAAATTGGAGATTCTGAAGAAGTAAGTTGTTATTTTTATAACCTGTTCCTGTAAACTTGTAATTACTGAGACTGACCCAAAATATTTCAGGTACAGAAAGACTCAGCTACTCCTACCATTCCTGCCAGCATCAACCCAAGTTCTCAATTTGCAACCCTAAACTCTTTATTCGATTCTGTATTTGACTTACCAGATCCTGAACCTCCTGTCATCCCAGCTGAACAAACTTATGAAATTCCTTTGGAAGTAACAAAAGCTGTCCAAATATTATCTCAAATGGTGCAACAGGATTTGTCTTCAATCCCTTCCTTCAAAGAAGAACTAACCGTGACTTTTTTCTTCCTCAGTAGTTACCCAGGATTTTCCTTGAATGACCAATCCTTTTTTAAAGGTTTCCAACTTCAAGTCCTTTCCATGATCACTTCCTATGTTGAAACAACTCAAACTATCAACCATTGTGCTGTTCAAAGCCAGGAAAAAGAATTATTTTTTCAGTCTTTAAAACGTGGAAGAGAACTTCATCTGTTATTGAAGAAAGAAGTTGCCGATCTGGGTGTGTGATACCCCTCGATTCTAGAGCCACGGGTGATCAAGTCCGAGCACAGATCCAAGGAATACCAAACAAATAATATGTAAAACGAACACGGAATACAAATCTGAATTTAAAAAGAAATAAATAATATAGCTGAAAAGAAATCTAATTACAAAATCCTCAAAGGTTATTATTGTAAAACCAAAAATCCAAAACCTCCATTTATTTACAACTCGGGAATCCATCTGATGGACCCCTAATAAAATCCTAAACCGAAGAGAAAAGAACTGAAACAAGTCCAAACTAAATAAAGAAAGTAATCCAACATAATCGGAGGAGTGAATGTCTGTATCTGCTCTGTACATCCAAGCTCTAACCCTAGAACTGACGAACACCTGAAAAAATAAGAGAGTGGGTCAGGCCCATATGTAAGTCATATTCTACTACAATCCATACATGAACCCGATACGCAGATACATCTTAGATAGACTCAACAATATCTAGAGTAGTCCATATATGTATATAATACACACTATAGGACGCTCACTAGTCCAATAGGTCTGTCTCAGCCTGAGTAGAGATACCATGCAAATCGCATATTACGTGGTCATGTATACCTAGACCTACCAAGGAATAGCAACTACTGTCCAGCTATCCATCCTAGGCGATATACGTACCCTAACCATGGTCTTGAGACTCAAGCTCATACCATAGTACCATAACATAAATATATAAAGTCCGTTCCAAGTGTGTCATTCAAAAGGTTTATTGACCTGACACCTAGTTATAAGTAGGACTTAACTTTTGTAGTTAATCCATCTTATTTCAATATAGGTAAGACTTTAGTGTTTGAACTAATCCATCCCCAATATAGGTAGGTCTCAGTGTTTTGAACTGAGACGTCCCTATTATACCACCGTCCTATACCAGTGCATAGACATCCATATAAGTAGGACTTAACGTTTTATAGTTAATCCAACTCATTCCAAAATAGGTAGGATTTAGTGTTTTACTAATCCATCCCTAGTATGCCACCGTCTCATACCAGTGCATACAGTCCTCCAATCCACATAGTTGATGCTCTAAATATCATGCTCCAACTATTTAAACTACTAAAATAAATCATAGCATTCCAATCCTCCACAACAGCCGATAAATCAATACAATTATACCAATTTAAATATCAATTAAATCCAAACTAAGTATAGTTAAAGAAAATTAATTCAGCATACTTATAACACTGTAAAAATATATGATTATATATAATTAGAATATATATAAATAAATAAATAAACCTTGCCAAGTTCTAATAAATAAAACTAACAAGACAGTGTGCAAGCTACCAATTTTCTATTGGTTTTTCTTACTCTATTCTTCAATCCAATTATGAATTTATATTTTTACATCACAATATCAGTCTAATACAATCCTAAGCACCACTTAACACAGTTTAAACGAAGTGCAAACACCCTGTATAGCCCAAACAAGCCCCTAAAATCAATTATGTAATATATAAGGAGAGAGCAGGCTCTTTAAAAATTTAGAGCCTGGTCAAAACCACTTAGAGCCAGCTCTAATTCACTTAGAGCCTGCTCTAAATCACTTAGAGCCGGCTCCAACTCTTTGGGAGCTGGCTCTAAGGGTTTTGGGAGCCTGCTCTCCCTCCCTTAGCAGCCATTGTCCGTTTTCCTTTTGTCTTCTTCGACTCCGGTGAGTTTCCAGCCCTCTGTACTGTATTAAATTCTTCTTCCAATATTCAATTAACATTCCAGACTACTTACAAGGCATCCATATGCCTTATTAATCTCAAAGAGCAAAGCTTAAACGCATAAACAGAAAAAGAAACAACTAACAAAGACTTACAAAATTTTGTATATCAGTTTCATTCAACGAGATTAATTATCAGTCAAGCATACATAAAAGATTGTTTAAGTATTCATTAAACTCATGGAGTCCATCTAAACATACACAGAACATAGATTCATTGGAAAGAATAGAACAGAAACCTGCCTTTGAATTTTAGTTTGAAACTCTAAACTGTCATCTTTGAATTTTCTAACGAGAGTCCCGACTATTGTTCCCCCTCTGTTGCTCTTGGTTTCACCTACGAACAATCTCTCCTTCCTCCTTCTTGGTCCAACCTTGGTATAGACCAAAACCTAGCCCTCCTCTCTTTACTTCCTCTGTTTCTCTCAGTACCTCTTTGTATCTCTGTTCTACAGAATTTACATTTATTTTTCTAAAACCCTAGACCATAGTACTGCGTATATTTATAGGTGAAAACAATAACCCTAGTTCATGTGCAATTAGAGACTAAGCCCCAAGTCCAATCCTAGTCGGCCCATCCGTGTTGTCTAAAAGAAGATAAACCCTAATATTTAACATTGAAATTGTTTCTAATTTAATTCAAATACACACACGAGGAATGCAAATAAAAAAATAATAATTTAATGAAACCACTTTCAAAGTAAAAATAAAACATTTAATGCATTTAACAAAAATAAAAGAATAAAACATTTAAGGAAAATAAAATAAATCTTGCAATTTATTCCATTTTCTTTAAATAACCCAAATATCAAATTATAAATCCAATAATAAATTAAATTCAAATAAACCAAATAATAAATGCAAACCAGCAATTAAACAAACAAAATTACCAAAAAACCAACCAACAATACAATAAAATAACTATATAAAATACTGAGACTATCATTTTAAAATTAGGGGTATTATAGGATGCCAGAGAGAAAAAAACTCCAAGCCGAACTAGCTCAGCTTCAACAAGATAAATCCCAGCTCGGCAACAAAGTGGCAGTTTTGAAGAAACAAGCAAAAATGAATGCACCCAAGTTTAAAGCACTACATGCTCAAATGCCAAAGTTGGAACAGTCCTAGAAACAAGCAGAAATGAAGTTCAACCAAACCCAATATCATGGGCAAGTCTCAAAACCAAATTTGAAGAGTTTTATCAAAATTTCAAGCAACCTTGAACATTTTATGGTCTTATGAACAATTTGCTATCACTGGTCTGTAATATGGTTATTGAACAACTTGCTATGGCTGTGTTTAACTTAATTTGATAACATCTTTATTTAACTGAGCACTTATGGCACCAAAACAACTTACATAAAATCAAATGAACACAATCCAAGCTGTTTTTATTTAGTAGAGGTTTTCTTTTCCTCCATAAGTTCAAAAATAGTTGGATTATATTTCTTTAAGTACCTTCCATTTTTCGGTCTCTCATGAATTTCACCATCTAGATCCTTCAATTTGTAAGCTCCTTCATGCAACACTTGGTGAACCACAAATGGTCCCTTCCATGTAGGTGACCATTTTCCATAAGTTCTATCTACATTTCCAGTTGGAAGAATTGTTTGCCAAACTATATCACCCTCTGCAAATGACTTAAACTTGATCCTTTTATTGTAAGCCTTCATTACTTTTGCCTTATGGACTATAAGGTGGTCTAAAGCAAGTTTTTGAACCTCATCCAAGTCTTCCAACTTGGCAAGCATAGCTTCATTGTAATCGGCAGGTATTAGATTATGTTGCAAAGCTATCCTTACCGATTTCACATTTAACTCCATCGGCAACACAGCATCATAGCCAAATGTTAGCCAATAAGGAGTTATTCCTGTACTTGTCCTTTTTGAGTTTCTATAAGCCCATAAAGCCTCTGAAAGGGTTTCATACCAGCGTCTCGGCTTATCCTTTATCATTTTCTCAATAATTTCAATTACAACTTTATTTGAAGCTTCTGCTTGGCCATTCACTTGAGCATAGTATGGTGTTGAAGTTAACATTTTTACCTGTATATTGCGGCCGAGTTGTAACACTTCTCCCACTCGAAACACAGACCCATTATCGGCAACAATTGTTTCTGGTAAACCAAATTGGTGAAAAATGTGTTACTCCAAAAACTGTATCACAGTGTTGTGAGTTACTAAGATATATTCCTCGACTTCTACCCATTTAGTAAAATAATCGGTAGCTAAAATAATCCAATGATGACCCTTTGATGAAGGAGGATTAATCTTGCCGAATCCATAGCCCAACCTTTAAAAGGCCATGGTTTGACTAATAACTGCATCTCTATTGCTGGAACCCACTACAGTGGGCTATGCTTTTGACAATATGTACAACCTTTTGCATATGTCATACAATCTTTTCTCATTCCAGGCCAATAATATCTATACCGACGTATCAACCATCTCATTTTTATGCTACCTTGGTAAGCTCCACATATTCCTTCGTGTACCTCAGTCATAATCTTTAAACCTTCAAATTTGCTAATACATTGAAATAGTAAACCATCTTCAACCGATCTTCTATAAAGATCTCCATCCATAAGTATATAATTGACTGCACTTCTTTTTATTTTTCGATCGGCTTCTGGAGTTGGAGTTGTAAGAATAAGATGTAAGGAACTCGTCAATCATCATCATCTAACTTGGCCACATCAGTAGCAAAGACTTCTTCTATAACTTGATTTCTTGTTTCAGCCAATGGAAGAGATCGGCGTGTGATTTTCATTATCCTTTCCTTCATACCACTTGGCACCCTGATTCCTAAAGCAGTTTGTGCTAAATCATTAGTTATTTTATTCATAGCCCTTGGTCTATATTCCAAAGTCACGTTGTGAAATTGGTTAACCAACTGGGTTGCCAATGAATGGAATGGCCTTAATTGCCAATTTAAACATCTAAAGTCTTCTGAGATTTGATTAATCACCAAACTTAAATCCCCTATAATGTGGATATCTTTGACAGCCATCTTCAATAGAATTTCCAAGCCGATAATCAACGCTTCAGACTCGGCTTGATTATTTGAGCACCTAAAATTCAAAAAGAAGGAAAACGAAATTTGGTTCCCGGATGGGGATATTATTGCTATACCAACTCCTGAGCCTTCATTGGTACTCGATCCATCGAACATTAAAGTCCAAGGGGTCATGAATATGGCTACCGAGTCAAGTTCATTAAATACTTGTGATTCGATTTCAGATGAGGGATGATCGGCTAGAAAATCTGCCAATGCTCTTCCCTTAATCGCTTTTTGTGGTACATAGGCAAAGTTGAACTCCATTAGTGCTAGGGTCCATTTGCATATCCGTCCTGTGATTAGTGGCCTTAATAGCATATACTTTATAAGATCTGTTTGACAAACAATATAAACCAACACAGGCAGCATATATATTTTTAATTTCATTACTGTAAAATACAAAGCCAAACACAATTTCTCAATCGGCATATATCTACACTCAACTGGGGTTAAAACTCAGCTTAGATAGTATATTGCTTGTTCACTTCCTGCTTCGTTCTCTTGTGCCAGCATACCTCCGATGCATTCTTCAGCAGCCGATAAATATAATTTCATCGGCCACTTTTTCCTCGCGCGACATCATCACAGGAGGACTCGACAAGTATTTCTTAATCTGGTCAAATGCCTTCTGATGTGTCTTATCCCATTTGAATTCTTCCATCGGCTTCTGTAACGACCCACTCCACCACATAGTATGATATTGTCTGCTTTGGGCCTGAGCCCGCACGGTTTTGCTCTTGGGCTTTATCCCAAAAGGTCTCATACCAATTGAAGATGACACACTTACATGTAAGCACTTCACCTTTCCTTTACCCAGGCGATATGGGACTGTGCACCCGTAGCTCTCCAGTGTGGTAGCCTGTCAGTGTCTCTCGCACCTGCCCACGGCACACCCGCCCACAAGGTTATCACAATCCACCCCCCTTGGAACCCGACGTCCTCGCTGGCACACTTCCGGCTGGGTCAGGCTCTGATACCATTTGTAATGACCCACTCCACCATATAGTATGATATTATCCGCTTTGGGCTTGAGCCCGTACGATTTTACTCTTGGGCTTCACCCCAAAAGGCCTCATGCCAATTGGAGTGACACACCTACATATAAGCACTTCACCTTTCCTCTACCTAGGCGATGTGGGACTATACACCAGTAGCTCGCCAGTGTGGTAACCTGACAATGTCTCTCGCACCCACCCACGGCATACCCATCCACAGGGTCATCACAATCCACCCCCCTTGGAGGCCCTACGTCCCCGTCGGCACACTTCCAGCTGGGTCAAGCTCTGATACCATTTGTAACAACCCACTCCACCACATAGTATGATATTGTCCGCTTTGGGCCTGAGCCTGCACGGTTTTGCTCTTGGGTTTTACCCCAAAAGGTCTCATACCAATTGGAGATGACACACTTATATATAAACACTTCACCTTTCCTCTACCCAGGCAATGTGGGACTGTGCACCCATAGCTCACCAATATGGTAGCCTATCAGTGTGTGCATTGTTATGACCTTATGGGCGGGTACGAGAGATACTGTCAAGCTACCACACTGGTGAGCTATGGGTACACAAGTCCCACATTGCTGGGGTAGAGGAAAGGTGAAGTGCTTATATGTAAGTGTGTCATCTCCAATTGGTATGAGGCATTTTGGGGTGAAGCCCAAGAGTAAAACCATGTGGGCTCAGGCCCAAAGCGGACAATGTCATACCATGTGGTGGAGTGGGTCGTTACAAATGGTATCAGAGCCTGACCCAACCGGAAGTGTGCCGACAAGGGCGTCGGGCCTCCAAGGAAGGTGGATTGTGATGACCTTATGGGCGGGTGCGAGAGACACTATCGGCTACCACACTGGTGAGCTACGGGTGCACAAGTCCCACATCGCTTGGGTAAAGGAAAGGTGAAGTGCTTATATGTAAATATGTCATCTCTAATTGGTATGAGGCCTTTTGGGGTGAAGCCCAAGAGCAAAACCATGCGGGCTCAAGCCCAAAGCAGACAATATCATACCATGTGGTGGAGTGGGTCGTTACAGCTTCAACTTGAGTAAAGGTGAAAACCCATGCAACTTACTAGCTGTATTTGCAATAAATCGCCTGAGATAGTTCACTTGACCAAGTAACCTCTGTAATTGCTTCTTGCTTCTTAGCGCACTAGCATCAATAATTGCCTTAGCTTTATTCCTATCGATTTCTATGCCCCTTTGGTGTACCAAGAACCCCAAAAAAGTTTCTTGTCGATACTTCAAAAGCATATTTTATTAGATTCATCTTTAACTTATAAGCCCTCATTTTCTCAAAAGATGCTTTGAGATACTAAATGTTTCTTTTTTGTTGCTGATTTCACTACTACATCATCAATATATACTTCCATAAACTTGCTAAGCATATCTTGAAAAATAGAATTCATAGCTCGCTGATATGTAGCACCAACATTCTTCAACCCAAAAGGCATTACCACCCACTCAAAAGTTCCAATCGATCCTGGACATCTGAAAGCTGTCTTTGGAATATCCTCCTCGGCTATATAAATTTGATTATAGCCTGCGTGTCCATCCATAAAAGATATGATTTCATGTTTGGCAGCCGCATCAATTAATTGATCGGCTATCGGCATAGGATACTCATCTTTTGGTGTTGCTGAGTTTATGTTCTGAAAGTCAACACATATTTGTAATTTTCTATTCTTCTTGATAACAGGAACTACATTTGATAACCACTCGACATACCTTGTAGTTTGAATGAAACCAGTATCAATCAATCGTTCAATTTCCACCTTGATTTTATCTACCACCTCTTGAGACATTCGGCGAGGCGGCTGTTTATATGGCTTATAGCCATCTTTAATGGGCAACCGATGTTCCACCAAATCTCTGGATAAACCTGGCATTTCCTCGTAATTCTAAGCAAAACAGTCACTGTATTCTTTTAACATGCCGATCACCTCGGCTTGTAATTCTAGGTCTAACAGTGCATTGATATAGGTTGGTCTAGGCTCTAAATTAGTGCCTAAATTTACCTCATTTAATGGATCTTGAGTTTCTGCCTTAAGATCATCAAGTTTAGCTGGTGCCAATTCCAAATCTTCTAGTTGAATAGCATCCAACTTTTCATTATCAATTTGATAGACTTCGGTAATACTAGCCGATAGCCTTGGTTCTACTTTTGCTTCCTTTTCCAGTCGTTTTTCAGTTATGTATGCTTGTAACCTAATGCAAGCGGCCCTATAGGCCTACTGCCGAGCTATTTCTCTTTCAAGTTTCGCCTCTATTGACAACTTCTTCTTCAATTATAGTAAGCCGAGGGAGTTCTACCTTTGGCCTAGAATTTTCTTGCTTTAACTCGCCGATTTCACAATCAGCAAGACTTCTTCTCATTGTTGCCGATATAGGTCTTCCATCAGCTCCCGTTCCCACAAATCAAATAGGAACAGACTCTTCATCATACAAAATAGCATCTGTCGAGTACACTTTTGCCACAAATGGCTTATAATCGGCATTCACTATTTTCACCTTATCACCATCCCAAAAGATTAGTATCTGGTGTAATGATGATGGGATGCACATATTTGAATAAATTCAGTCACGGCCTAATACCAAATTATATGAAGCCATGGATTCGATAATAAAAAATGTCGTGAAGGATGTCCTTCCTCCAATTTCGACTTCCAAAGGAAGAATCCCTTTAGTGCTAGTAGAAACTCCGTTAAACCCACAAATTGCTACATCAGTAGGAATAACATCTTCCATACTCTTGCCAAGTTTCTTCAACGTATTAGCTGGAATTACATTCAGAACTGAGCCATTATTTACTAAGACTCGGTTAACAGGTTGGCCTTCTACCCATACCTTGACATACAAAGGCCTTAATTGTTGAGTCATTGCTAACAAAGGTTTCTCAAAAACTACCTTTTTGCCAATTTTGATGAAAGAATAGAAAAATTCTGAATCGGCTGAGTTTCTTTCTCCTTGATGCTACCTTTATCCTCCATTTCCTCATTCTTTTCAGTATTTACATTTGATGCCGATGGGGCTTGGAACATTGCCGGTAATACGAATACCATATTACATGACATTTCCTCTGGGAAACTACCAAACTGAATTTTTAACTCATTTTTGCGTCTGGGACATGTCGGCTGATGCTCCTCTACCTCATCCGATTGATCTTCATCTAGAATACTAACCTGCTTAGCCAACTCTACATCTTCTGCTTTCCTTTTTTTCGTGACTCTTCTCCTTTGTTCCTTGCATTTCTGAGATCAAGTAAGGCCTCCACTCTGATGTTGTTGAACCTTAGGGAATTTTGGATGATTGACTTGAGTCCATCTATCCTCAGTTGAGTCTGTTCTTGGTTTTATAGTTCATACTCTATGTGAATCGGCTTCCTTTTGCACCCAAATTTCTGATTGGACTGGTCAACGCCTTTTAAAATTGGGATGTCGATTCTGGGAATGAAATCTGCTGGATATATATTTTTACCAATTCTAATTTTCTGCCTTCAAATGACTGCTAATGGAATCATCCTGCTGAGG